GTACGAAAGAGGAAGGACAAGGGAGAAAGGGGAAGACATTGAGTATCCCTTGCGGAGGAGCGTACGATATAAGGAGAGAAGGAGGGGACATTATTCCTCCTTCTCTCTCCTCAGATTTATCCTCCTTATTACTAGGTTGGCTAGCTAGTTACAGAACTCTTTCCAAACCCTCACATAAGGTACGACGTGATTTTAGGGATAGACTAACTTTAAAAGAATAACTTAATAATTAACTAGAGGACGAAGACGATTACATTCGCGGAAAGTAGTACCGTTAAAAGGGGGGACCGATCATCCTTAAAGGCTCTAGAAAGAACCGTTTTAGTGCGACCGATAGAGAGAATACTAGTTAGTACTATTATAGAAGAGCTCCTAGCGGAATATAAAGACTTTAAGATCCTTATAAAAAAAGGTAAGGCGAGGTAGCCTTACTAAAATATTAACTATAGGACTACGAAATCCCATTCGAAGAAGGAAAAATACTAATATACTATAGAGGACTAATCTTAATGTCTAAAAAAGAAGAAGACTTCCTTAAAGACTATATCGAGAAACATCTAGTAAAGAAGTTTATACGACCGTTAGAATCGCTAATATTATACGGAGTTATCTTCGCGAATAAAAAGGACGGAGGATTACGACCTTATATAGATTATAGGAAACTTAACGTAATTACTAAAAAGAACCGCTATCTAATACCTAAGATCGATAAACTATAAGATCGATTATTAGGAGTAAAATAGTTTACGGTAATCGATATTAGAGATATCTATTATCGTATACGAATAAAGGAAGAGGAAGAATAGAAAATAGCGTTTAAAACTAGATAAGGGTTATTTAAGTATTAAGTAATGCCCTTTAGACTAATTAACGCCCCTACTACGTTCTAGATACTTATTAATAATACGTTAAGGAAACACCTAGACGAGTTTATCGTTACGTACCTTAACGACATCCTTATTTTTTCTAAAACGAAAGAAGAATACGTATAATATATACGGAAAGTACTATAAGTACTAAAGGAAAAGGATTTACTTATTAAGTTAAGTAAATGCTAGTTTTATATCTATACGATAGCATTCCTAGGCTATATCGTATTAATAGAGGGACTTACGCTAAATCTAGATAAGGTAAAAGCTATCTAAGAATAGCTAATACTAAGAAACGTTAAGGAAGTATAAATGTTCCTAGGACTTATTAACTATTATAGGAGATTTATCGAAGGATTTTTAAAAATTACGATATCCCTAACTAACTTAATAAGGAAAGAATAAGAATTCTAATAGGACGAGAAGTATAAAATAGCCTTTAACGAGCTAAAGGGACGGATGACCTCTACCCCTATACTTATACTCTTTAACCCGGAAAAGGAAGTAATACTAGAGATAGACGTATCCGGTAAAGCTATAGGAGCCTACCTTACGTAGAAGGACGACTAAGGCCGATTACGACCTATAGCTTACTACTCGAGACGCATAACCTAACTAGAGTCGAATTACGACATCTATAATAAGGAGTTATTAGTAATCGTTAAAGTACTACGCTAGTAGAGAGTTTACTTAAAGGGAGGTAAATACCTAGTCTAAATATATACCGACTATAAGAACCTTATATATTAGACTATAACTAAGGAACTTAATAGACGATAAGTTCGCTAGGTAGAAACGCTTACGCGATACGATTTTAGAATATACTATATTAAAGGAATAGAAAATAGTCGAGCCGACGCTCTAAGCCGAAGACCCGACTATATGAGAATAGTACAGCTAAAACTAGATACCTTACTTAGGGGTAACGGAGACTTACTATAGTACGGAGGATATATAACGCTTATAGTAATGGACATTAAGCTTATAGAAGAATAGAAATAAGAAATACTAAAAGAAAGATATAATAGTTAAATTATAGGATACCCTAGAATCGCGAAAATAATTAAACTAATTACGAGGGATTTTAATTAGAAGGGCCTTCGAAGAGATGTCGAAGAATACGTTAGTTAATGCGATATCTATAAGAAAGCGAAGAAAGATAGGTATAAGCTATACGGGCTCCTAACGACGCCGTAGATACTAAATAAACTATAGAGCTTAATCTTAGTCGACTTTATTATAAAGCTACCGATATCCCGAGAGTCTCTTATAAGTAAGGAATACGATAGTATTATAATAGTAGTCGATAGACTAATAAAGTACGCTTATATAATACTATTTACGGAGAAAGCTACGGTAAAAGACCTTATATATATATTTATACGAACGATCTTTATTAAATACGGAATACTAGAAGAGGTTATTTCGGATAAAGATAAGCTATTTATATTATAGTTCTAGTAATCGCTAAACGACTAGCTAGGAATAAAGCTAAAACTTTTAATAGTATATTACCTATAGACGGATGAATAAATAGAAAGAATAAATTAGACACTAGAATAATATTTACGATACTACGTTAACTACGAATAAAATAATTAGGTATAGTTACTACTAATAGTATAAATAGCCTTTAATAATAGTATAGTCGTTACGGGAATCTTACTATATTTCGTAAATTACGGATACTATCTAGATATATTTAGAAAACTAGAAGAAAAGAAGAAGATATTAGAAGAAGTAAGAATATAACTAGAATAAATGAAATAGCTATACGAAAAGATATAGAAAGAGTTATAGAAAATCGCAGAAAAAACAATATTAAGAGAAAATAAGAAAAGATCTAAGGGACTAGACCTTAAAGAAGGGGAGATGGTCTATATACGACGAAAAAACATTAAAATAAAAAGATTAAGCGATAAACTAGATTATATTAAGATCGGACTATATCGCATTAAACGGAAACTAAAACTAGTAACTTTTAAGCTAGATCTACTAAAAATATTAGGGATATACCCTACTTTCTATAAATCACTACTAGAACTATATAAAAACTCGAACGCTAAACTAGGACCTATAGATATTAATTAAGAAATCGGCGAACCGCTATATAAGATAGAAAAGATCGTAGACTTCTATCCCGCCGACTAATCTACCGATAGATAAGACATATACCTAATTAAATGGTTAGGGTATAAAGATGAGGAAAACACTTAGGAAAACAGCGAGGACTTACCTTCTAGGGTAAAGAAAAAGTACTACTAGAGAACCCGGAAAAAGAACGCTATCATTAACGGATTATAAATTCTTATAAGCGTTAGTAAACCTAGCGTTACTAAGATTTAATACCGCACTCTAGTCTATTAAGTCCGATTATAGGATGTCTTACTAAATAAACTTAGGCTTAGCTAGAGCTACCTCCTCGCCGGAAGGAACTTTATCGAAAGCGTCTAGCGCTTATATTTCTCTTTTTAATATATTACTAGAAAGCTCATCTAATTTCGTAATCGATTCCTATAGCTCGGAATCCTCCTCTTTAATACTAACGAGATCGGCCTCTAGTTCGACTAGGGACCGCCTAGCCTCTATTAAGGTTTTCCGGAGCCGAGTAATCTCGCGACGTTTAAGTCGGGACTTAGAAGATAGTTACTTCTTCTACTCCCTAATCTTTCGTAATTACTTAACGGAAAACGTTCTATTATACTCTCTTCGGTACCGTAAGTACGCCGTATACTTTACACTCTACTCCCGAGAGTAGAAATATACATCGTTATAAGCGGTACACTCTAAATACGTAACTATCGCTTTATTTTCTTCGATTAATTCGATATAGTTAATAATCTCGTTTTAACGCTATCGCTACGGGATAGGAGGCTTAGAAGATTTTAGAGGTTTCGGATTCGGTTTATGAACTCGGAAGACCTATATAGTTAGCTATGACGGAGAAAAGGGAGAGAGAAAGAGGGACTATAATATAGGCGATAACTTACCTTAAGTACGTTACGGATAACGAACAGATTAAAGAGGGGGAAGTGTTACGAACTAACCTTTATACGACTACCCGGGGCCGTAAGGGGTAGGGAAGATTAAGCGAGGAAAGGCTAGCCTCGCTAGTAAGGCTGACCTAAGATACGTAATAACTAAAAAGGGAAATATACTATTACGGACGAAGTACTATTATACGCTAAGGAGATATAACAGTAGTAACACTATAATGCCTAGACCTACTTAGATAGGAAACCTACCTAGAGTATATAGCTAGCTAGATCCGCTTCTATAGGAAGCGTAGTCAACCTCGTTCATAAATAATCGAGTTCCTCTCGGTTAAGTGCTTTACGTATAGTCCCGCGTACTATACTCTTAGTTTCGTCTCTACTACACCGTTCCACTACTATATCACTAAGTAAACTACCTCGGGTTTACTAAGGATACCTCACGTGTAAAGCATCTCGTAATAACATATTTAATCATGTATTACGGCTCATGTATATCTTTATTATGCGATTGACGGAGTTCTACACGATTCGGTTCATGTATAGGAGTATGGAGGAGTTCGCGGGTCTGATCATACTTGGTAACGTGAACGACGATGTCAGGTGGGTATACTACTCATTGAACAAGCGGCTGGACTTATACACCTCCAGGTACAGCTAGTTGTTCTCGAACAACAACGACCCGTCATAGTTCTTGTTGTCAGACTAGAGTGGAGGGATTTACACGATCATAGAGTTATACACCGCCATGAAGGAGAGGGTGAAGCTGTACATGAACATCATGCTACCGGCGAACTTACGCATCCCCAGCGACGAGCTAAGGGGAGAAGTCCGTATGCTACGACATTGTCAGGACCGTGCATGGTAAGGTGACATAGAGTAAGTATATTAACTTCATGAAGTTCTGGCATAACACTGTGTTTATGGCCGACCTCGCGCCTAAGTTGTAGAACCTAAAGATGATCCCAGTCCAGAATAAGTAGATGGACATCTAGGTGATCATGCTCATGAAAAGAAAGAGGAGCACGAACATCAGGGTAACATAATGCTGAAGATGACAGTGAACGTCATCATAGATGGGCACATCAACAAGAACGAGCTGGACGACATGATCGAGGTGAACGGCGTGAACGTAGAGAGGGACACCTACGTAACTAGAGTCATGTACATCAATAGGGTCGTGAACGTGTACGGGATGACGGGTTTACCCAGCTACTTGGGCATGCTCGTGGGCAAGTACTACTTCGACATCGGGGGTCTCTACTTACCGATGCACCTCTACAAGCGTAACATCACGGACGATTTCGAGATCACGATAAGTTCTGGGCGATCATCCTCAACAGGTTGACGGTCAAGGGCCTGGCCTAGATGAGGTTCATGTGCCTAGACGAGACTGAGTTCGCTAATATCACCAGGTTTAGGAGCGTGTAGAGCGTCAAGCCCGCTGTCATCAACATGATCAGGAGGAGGGAGTTGTACAAGAATAGGCTTGACTCCAACCACATGCTCAGGCGGCGAGAGATGCACTTGATCGTGGTGCGCAGCTAGAACATAGAATTAGACAGATTTATGACCATGTTTAAGTTCTAGGGCGAGTGTATGCAGATGTACAAGCACATGGAGATGTACATGACCGCGGTGATGGAGTAGCCTGTAGATATAAACATGACTATCTTCGCGTACAAGTACTCGAGCGTGGTCTGGTTCGACCTTTACTACGCGGACGGCTATAAGGGGGTACGACATGAACTTATCGCTGACCAGCACCCTACAGATGTACGAGCTTGGATACTTATCTCGGTTCTGGACGGAGACCGTATGTAAGCTCGGGGTCGAGAGTACGAAGTGGGACCTAAAGATAGAGCTCTACGCTGAATTATAGACGTTTTTGTACACGATGCTCTACATGTACATGTTGGTGTAGATGGTCCCCTACTAGATCAGCCTCGAGTTGGCCCTGCGCATCGTCTTCGAGAAGTCAATCATCTCCGCCTCCATGGTGTAACTCGAGTATGGAGGTGTACAAAACCCCAATCTCTCTTCGAGACCTATAGAACTGTATAGACCCGTTGCTGGATAGGTTCAAGCATGCGGACCCGTCCTCTCCAAGCCCGTCTGGATCTTCAGCCTCGTAAACGAGCTGGCGATCAGCGACGACGTCACGCCCGTGACCATGTTCATGTAAGTGGAATGACTTAATTGATTCTAATTAAGCTAGGAAATCTATCTAGCGCACCTGCGGATTTATTATGTGCCGTAGTAGAAATTATTTCGCTAACCTTCCCGATCAGGGTCAGGGCAACAGTTCATATCCCTGGAGTAGTTCCATATCACCCTGATCAATTTGGGCGTCATGATGAGGCGGAACATCCTGGAGGCCCTCCTGTAGACGGCAAACATGATCGAGGATCCGCACAGGTTGCACATCGCGCACAAGGGGTTCCTCGAGTCCTACTTCATGTACGGCTTCCAGGTCAACCAGTCAGCACACCTCCCCCTCATCTCGTTCTGCACGACTGTGGTGCACGTTATCATAGTCAAGGGCTCCATCACGGTGATGTCCTTGGCGAAGTTCTCCCTCGCGGAGGTGGCGCTAACTGTGTTGCCGTGCACAATCGTAGTCGCGATTACGGGCTCGGTAGCCCACATGGTGATGCTACAGTTCGGGGTCGTCCACTTGTCCAGCACTAAGATTTACCTCACGGTGTCAGTCACGAGCGTGTTGTACCCGAGAGCTTGTCGAACTGATCTAATGATCTCGCTCGTGAACATGTCGATGCTCGGGACCCCCCTGCTGCCTGAACAACAACTACAAGTACTCCCCCGCGACCATGGGCCTGTAGATCTTGTTGAGCGTCATCTTATACTTGGAGACTATCTTGAACACCCTCTCCCTCCTGTCCCTCTCCTATTCCTATTTAGGGTAGGAGTGTTGCTGGATTAGGAAATACAGAGGTTTTTGTGACCTAACAATAACGTTACTACATTTCCACAGATGGGGAAAAAGTCAGCCTAACATGTGACATGTAGTCTTACTTAGTTATCAAGTACGGTCGACCATCAAGTGTAGTCTTCACTTACTGTTCGTTCCTGGAGGACGTCTACCTTACGGTCCTGTATGGGTGCGTGTCGTCGAACGTCCAACATGTTCTCCATCGTCTCGATCTACCTGTTACGGTGCGCGACATGGTCGGGCCACGGGCTTGTGGGCAACAGACTCGAGAAGACGCCCGGCTTATGATCACCTATATGAACATGGACACAGACATTTACTCGAACAATAGCCTCTTTCACAAGTTGGAGCAGATGGTACACATCATCACGATCGGTGGCGCGAACATGAACAAAAGCGCATTTATGCGCATAGACCGGGCTGTGCTCGTGGAGATGTTGACCATGGCTTAAATGTTGAGGTACTACAAGCACACCTCGACTAGGCACGCGGGCTCGGTCTGGTGCGAGAGGGTGCCTATGACCTCGGTACGATCCCCAGCTATATCGAGGACGTGAGCTTAGTTAGTGTCCTCGGACACGAACAAGAACCGGAACAAGAACCGGAGCAAGAACCGGGACAAGAGCCGGAACGAGAACCCGCACAAGAACCCGTGCAAGAACCTGAACAAGAACCTGAACGTGAGGTGCATGTTCACGGACATGTTGTCGGCCACGCAGATCGCGACGATCGTATCGTGTTCACGATCTTCTCCACATACAGGCACTGGGACGACCACGTTCAGATGATCATGTTGGCAAAGCCACTCAAGTCCATGGCTGATCACCGCGTGCGTTGGCTCAACTACGAACCTCAACTTCTTCACGACCGTAGACAAGACTCCCGGCCTGTACATGATCCTACATGAGGCCAGCCACATAAACGTGACGGTCGTCACCGACTCGAGGACTATCGTGAACACGTGCATGTCAACGTAGATCCACGCAGCCCCCTTCATGAACTTGAACATGGACATGGCCACGTTCTCGGACGAGATCGAGGTGAGGGACTTGTGCAGCACCTGGACGCATGGACGCCGTGGTGGAGGCCGTCCTGTACTCGAACCCCAGCGTGATTAGGGTGTGGATCGTACCCATGATCGTCAACGGGAGCCTGGAGCCAAAGAGGATCAGCGTCTCGGTCGTGACGCAGGCGCAAGAGGTGGTACAAGAACCTGATGTGGCCTATAGACATCAAGGGATGCTACTACGACTGCCGCGTCGCGCTCATGTTGTCGACCTCAATCATACACGCGATATAGGGTGTCGATCCTGCCGCGTACGAGAGTAGGATGAGCACGGGATACAGAAAGCACAGGGCCGCCATGAATACGACAGGGATCGTGGACTTGTAGACCACTTGACGAGGTACGACATCATGGACATGTACAACGACGTGATCAAGTCGCTGGAGGTAGGTCGCCCACGTGAAGGTGAACATCGACACCGTTCCCGAACATGCACAGGAACGTCATCGTGCTCAGCCACTTGAAGATGACGTAGATGATCAACTCGTATGCACGCCTATCACTCACAGACAGCGAGACGCTGGAGAGCCTTAATGATTTGGCTGAGATGACTCAAAAAAAAAAAAAAAAAAGATGGAATCCGTAGAAAGAAGTACTTATGTGCGGACAGATGTCTTGTTGAGAGCTCAAATCGCCGCCAACCGTTACCGTTTTACCAAGGACTTGCGTGACCGGGTGTCGGCAAAGGAGGGAGACAATGACAATGCCCTCTAACGCTACCTCATCTAGGAGGCGAACACGCCACACTATTCGAAACTCGCGTCCGCCCTCTTCAAAGCGATCCATAAAGTGCCCCAGTGGCAAGAAAATGCGCCTCACCATCGCGAGCGGGTCATTTGCCCAGGACCAAGTACCCGCAGCCGATCACGACCGTCATTGACGCCGGGCTTTATACCCTGTTTAAGAAGATAAATTGTACATTGGCGTTTGGGACATGTGCACTCTCATCCCCGCTCGAAAATGCTATTCTCAAGGGGTGTCCTGGAACTTCTCGGCCATGAGGGGGCGTACAAAAAGGGCCAGAATCCTAGCCCGTCTACTAACGACATCATACCTCACGTCCCATGACTCAGTTCGGGTTTCTTAATGTATACAAGTCACCCTATGTGTATACATATATCACGTATCTATTTCTTCATATGCTGCATGTCAGCTGTGAGTCAACTTCAGTGTCTAAACAACCAGGAAATCTGTCGGTAGACAAGACCCATGAGGCCTCGCCCGGTTGGAGGCGCAGCAAACTCTGTAAACAACCAAAATCCAGCACATGTTCCCGTTCGGCTTTTGTTGCCGCTAAGCTTTTCCTGAACCGGCCGTGGATGTGAAAATCTGAGGTTCGTTGACTGAAATATATCTACTTCACCTTTATTTTTTCTCTTGCGTACTGCGTACTGGGTGGGAACTGTGTACTTCTTGTAGCTTGCCTGTCTGTCTGTTACGGTACAAACACGGAACATATACAGCCTCGCCTAGCTAGAACGATATTATTGGCCGGATTTACCTATACTGTATAAAGGTAAATCACGAACGATATAATTAGTCAGGATCTAGACCAACGCACTTGCGCCAAGACTAACCTACCAGCGCTAAGACCAACGCTACCTTCTGATCAGCTGGTTCTACCTGTACAATATCCATACCACAGCCTTGCTTCCGAAGAGTCACACAGATAAACAAACACCAAGACAAGCAGCACCACACTATCTAGACAGACCAAATTGACCTCCACTCTGTCGAAATCCCCATAATTGAGTTAGTACTTCACCGCCCCGTCACAGCCCTATTCAAGGAAGCCGGACCGGTTACTGAACGTTATTTCGCCAATAACATCGAACGTGGTGCTAGTGTCGAGTTCAAAGAACTTCGATTCCACCGCCTTTGTTTGGCGTGTTGGGCATGTTTAGCAGCCTCTTCGAGGAGAGTTGGATGGCACAATTCTGCAGACGCTTTGAGCCTCTTCGGACTCGGGAGATCGCAGAGGACCTCAGCTATAATTTGGAGAGCATCATTGGAGAACACGCAAGCACCAATATCAACCATCCCGCTTATAACATGCACACGATCCTCATCACACTGGTACATCCTCTTCCAACAATATCCTCATGACCTAAACCACAGCCTGGAATGACCTCGGCATCATTACTTGTCGATGCCAGCTGGCGATCCCTCACTGGTCGCTGAATGCTATATGAACTTCACATCTACCGCTCACGTTCCTAATATTGCAACATGTGTGAGTGTTTCTTTCGATGAGAGATTCATCGGCAAGATCACCGTACCCCAGACAGAGTCCCTGCGGTCATTCTATATGCGTTCCGGCTCGAGGTAGGTTGCTCCGGCGGCGTACCTAATCTAACTACAGAAACTAGATGCATTCCTACCTACACAGACATATCTGGGATATAGCCTTGTACAGCACTGCTACTGCGCCCCCGAGCCCGGCTGCATCGGTCCAGAAACGGGTCAAAAGTGAGGCTGACGAGGACGGCGGGGACGGCGAAGCTGTAAACGATGTAGTTCACATCGTGTGGTAATGGGTCACATCGATGATGAAGTACTGTCTTAAGTACTACGGATTAGGACCTTTTGCTGCCGCACGTCGCGCCCGGCAGGAGGAGAACGATAAACTGGGTCTCTTTGATCTGGGGCTCGGTGAGTCCTCATGCTTAGCATTTGATGACGGACTGTGCTGACCGAGACTACTACTGGCCTTTCACGCAAACAGACATACAGATCATAATGTACTAGCTCCTGCTGGACCAGAGCAAACCCAACTGTGTACGGTTCGCTGCCAAACGTATCGAAATGGCAAGGCTGTCAATGGGCGCTGAATTGTACAACACGACGTCTGAAGTTCAACTCCCTTGTTGCGAACAACGAGTCGAGAAGCGAAACATCGTCTCTCTATGAATTGAACTGCCCTCGGCGGGTGGTGGTAGCTAAACAAAAGCCCCCGACAAATTCTGTCGGGGACTTGCAATTGCGAAGTGAAAGGGCGGCCATCTGGGATGGAAACAGTGCTAAGAAACCAAACCAGCTCTGGTACAGTAGGTTAGCAAAAGTCACCGGACACTAGTCCCTTAGTACGCCTCCTGAATACTACCCCCCCATACACTTAATAATTTTTTTCTATGTATTTACTATAGTAGAATAGTATAATTAGTATAAATCGATAGCTTAAGAGATGCACTTCTAGAATATCGCATCTTCTAGATTAAAACCGCGTATACTAGCCCTTAGGCTTAATAACTACGTTAACTCTCTCGTCCATTAACCTAATGGCATTCTTAATCTTTTTCTTATCTAGACTAGTCTAGGCCCTTATAATAGCGTTTATAGAGCGATTAAGGACCTCCTATAAGTCTCCTACTGTATAGCGAAGGCCTAGATCGATAGCATTAACTAGGCATTTTAGCTTAAACTAGAGGTTTTCGATTAGGTTTAAATCTAGCGAATATAGTAGTCATTTCATTACATCTATTCTATAGTCATTTAGCTACTCTATAACCTTTTTCGCCTTATAAATAGGCGCGTTATCTTATATAAATATCCTACTAGGCTCCTAGATCGACGGGATGTTATCGGTAAGGACCTAAATATAGGAATTAGCTAAGTAGCCTATCTTCGCTAACTTCTAGTCGCGTAAAAGGATGTAGATATCGAACGATTCGCCTTCGTTAAAGATCGCTACCTATATTATAATCGAGACGTCTTTAGTCATACCTTTCTTAGTAATTATGTCCTTATTCTACTTCTTCTAGGGCGTTCGAAAGACTTATTCTCGCTGAGTTCCGGAACCGCGTTAAATAAAGTATTCGTCGCTCTAGATGACTTTAAGCTAATCTTCCTACGTCTAGTCCTAATAGACTAATGTCTATTCGTACCGAGCTTTAGTAGCTTTATCCGTTAATCTAGGACGCTTTTTAGCTATCTATTTCTTAATGTAGTAGTCCTAAAGTAGCCTTCGAATAGTCTAGTCGGATACATCTAAATCGAGTCTTTTTCGTAACTTAAGATAGCTAATCTTAGGATTAGCCTTAATAGTACGTAGAAGGCGTCGTTCCGCTCGCTTAGTAAGCTTCTTAAGTCTTCTAGTTCGACTAGTAGGATCTAGGCGTGGGTTTTATATGATATCTAACACTATCGATTTAGGGATCTTTACGATATCTACGATTTCGCGTACGGATTTACCTACTAAATGAAGGCCATATACTATACCGCGCTTAAAATTAGACTATTTACGTCTAGAGGACATCTCTACAATAATAGAATAATAAATAGAGAGGTGGTGGTTGAGAAATAATGCTTCGAAATCTATTCATCTATTTAGTGTGTAACGTACTGTAGTTCACTTTGTACTTGGTACATGGCATTCAGGCCGGGACACCTATCTGATGCTCGAGTAGTAATCCCCACTGTCGTGTAGAGGTGCCAGAGCCTTGTCATCGCTTTGAAGGCCTTTCTTCACAAGGATCTATCCGTCGCAGAATTGACGTCGGAGCGCCTCAGTGTGGTAGAAAGAGTCTCGGCCCTCTCTGCTCATCGCATCGTTGGAAAGTTATGACACAAATGTCGCCATTGTCGTAATGGGCAGTGTCAACGTGGTGATCCTCAAAACACTCGTTTTCCCTTGTTCATTTGTCCCTGATCTAGGTGACAAAAGGCAAAGGTTACCACCCTCTTATCAAGCCAGCCTAAACCCCAGTGATAAAGTAATCCTCAAGCCAAAATATCGATTTGAACCAACTCGAGAGCTTCCATCGTCGATGTAGGAGGTTTAATCGTCGACAAACGCCCGGAAACGCTTTACCGCTCTCAATTATGGCGATGATGCCGGACAGATCTCGAGCATCAGCGCTGTCTTTCCTGTGTACCTCGTATCTGCATACAAAAACTCCACAAAGTCAAAGGACGCGTTATCTCGCCTCCATCATCCTCTTCTTCATCACCCGTCGAGTGCTCTACCTACGCAGTTGGGCTTCCCAGGCGTTGTACGACGCTTTAGACAAGTGTCGTGGTCCTCTACGTCGTTCTTGGATGTGCTCGATCTCCCAGGGAAACAGGAACTGCGCATCTTCTTTTCGTGAAACAGCTGCATTCACCCTCAAAGCCGTGAGCTCTACTGCGCTACGCCCCTCGTCAGGAAATGAGTCCCCGAAAGCGCTACGTGCGCGCTGATCGGAGTGAGATACCGAAAGTAGAGTGTAGGGCGATTTATGGAACCTCATATCCTATTTTGGATGATGGTGCGGCCCTAATTGAGAGATTTTGCTGAAATCTGTGCAGGATCCAAGTCAATGTTCACCAAGAAATCCGGGAGCCTACAC